AAAATTACAGATTTTCTGACTTGGTAGAAAATCATGCTCTGCATATGCCTGCACTTTATCAGTACACATGATCATTTAAACATCAGTACATTCAACCCAACAATGAAGAACATATGATATGAGTATGAAGTATTTTTTGAGCATTACAAAATTGGCAAATCACAGCATTATATAGACAGGGAAGTGTCAACGCTAGGGGAAAAGTACCAGGCAATCTATTAAAAAAAAAAAAAACAAAACAAAAGAGAAAAAAAACACCACAAAAACTTGCATATCCATTACTTTTTTTTTAAAGATTAAAAGATAAAGAAAAACAAAAGTTGGTTGCTGAAACTACTCAAAAAGCTATAATTAGTTAAATAATGGATATGTGTTGAAAGTGCACACTCTCAGGTTTAATTTGAGGGTATGTACAGTATATCCAAATTGGAGGAAGGGTTTAGGAATTACAGCTCTTAAGAGTAGCCATCCTCCCTTTTTAAAGAGACTAAAAGTAATTGGACAATTGAATATAATCATAAATAAATGTTCATTTTTAAGATTTTTTTGAGAATCCTTTACTGGCAATGACTGCCTAAAGTCTGGAACCCATGGACATTACCAAAGACTAGGTTTCCTCCTTTCTGATGCTTTGCCAGGCTCTAACTACAGCTGTCTTCAGTTGTTCTTTGTTGTTTGTGGGTCTTTCTGCCTTTCGTTTTGCCTTCAGCAAGTGAAATGCATGCTCAATTGGGTTGAGATCAGGTGACTGACTCGACCATTGCAGAATATTCCACTTCCTTTCCTTCAAAAGCTCCTGGGTTGCTCTTGCAGTGTGTTTTGGATCATTGTCCATCTGTACTGTTAAGAGTCTGTCCAATCAACTTTGCTGCATTTGGCTGAATCAGGGCAGACAGTATATCTCTAAACACTGCAGGATTCATCAGGCTGCTTCTGTCTTCTGTCACATCATCAATAAACACCAATGGCACAGTGTCACTGGAAGCTATGCATGCCCATGCCATCACACTGCATCCACCATGTTTTACAGATGACGTTGTGTGCTTTGGATCATGAGCTGTTCTAAGCCTTCTCCACACTTTTTTCTTCCCGTTATTCTGGTAAAGATTAATCTTAATAATAAAAGTGCAGCGCTAGAAATTAAATAAATGTGACACAATAAAAGTGATCAAAGAAAGTCCCAGCTGCGGTGACCTAGGGTAACAATGCACACTAACCAGAAGTGTTACGTGCCAAGCACATCTTCAGAGAAAGAACCAGTGAGCCTACGCACGCCTTGACGTCACGCCGTCGGAGCATCGTGGAGCTCCGGCAGCCACTACATCCGACAGGACAGTTAGTCCTGTCTGTTTCTTTTGGTGTTCTTGCCATTTGTACTGGATGCATCCTGCCTATTTTAATAAATACTTTTTACACTATACTTCACTATGGGCATTTTTTCTTGATCCCCTGTGGGGAGCATCTTTTCTCCCAGATATCGTTGGTGCACAGTGGAGGAGCAGTGCTTTTTTGGTGGAGCCGTGATCATTTTTCTGCCATCTAGTGGATTTCTTCTGCCCAGCTCTGTACCATCGTGTGGACCTTCATTGAGCAAGGGAATACATCTACCCTTCCCATGCTGATGACTACTTTATCAACTCCATCCTTCCTACACTGCACTATTAATGTGCACTTCTGGTTAGTGTGCATTGTTACCCTAGGTCACCGCAGTTGGGACTTTCTTTGATCACTTTTATTTAATTTCTAGCGCTGCACTTTTATTTTATTTTCATGTGAGGATTTTTTTGGTTATTCTGTGTGTCTTAGCTGCTTGTTTATTGAAAGCGCTCACTTATTATTCTCTGTTTTATAAAGATTAATCTTAGCTTCATCCGTCCAAAGAATGCTTGCTTTGGTCTGGCTTTTTTAGCAAAGTCTTATCTGGCTTTTCTATTCTTCAGGCTTATGAATGGTTTGCACCTTGAGATGAACCATCTTTATTTGCTCTCATGAACTCTTCTCTTGATTGAATACTTTGACAAAATGATACGCCCACCTCCTGGAGGGAGCCCTTCACTTGTCTGAATGTTGTGAATGGGTTTTTCTTTACCATAGAGAAGATCCTGCGATCATCCACCACTGTTGGCTTCCGTGGATGTCCATGCCTTATGTTGCCAAACTCACCAGTGCATTCTTCTTTCTTCAGAATGTACCAAACTGTTGATTTGGCCACTCCTAATGTTGCTGCTATCTCTCTGATGGATTTGTTTTGCTTTTGAAGCCTTACAATGGCCTGTGTTACTTGCATGGACAGCTCCTTTGAATGCATGATGTAGGTTCACAGCAATAGATTCCAAAAGCAAATACCACACTTAGAATCAACTCCAGACCTTTTACCTGCTTAAATGATGAAGAAAATACAAAAGGAGTAGCCCACACCTGGCCATGAAACAGCTTTTCATTCAATTGTCCAATTACTTCGGTCCCTTGAAAAAAGGGGGGATGGCTATTCTTAAGAGCTGTAATTCCTAAACCCTTCCACCAATTTGGATGTACATACCCTCAAATTAAACCTGGGCGTGTGCACTTTCAGTCCATATCCATTATATAACTATAGCTTGAATATGTTTTGGTAAATACCTGAAAAAAAAACTAAAAATTGTGCCTGTGTCCAAATATATATGGACCTGTGTATATGTATTGTAAAATATATATAATTTATTTATATTAAGATGTTACAAAGTGACATTTCATTAACTTCTAATGACCACAGCAGTATGAGGCAGTGGACTGATCCGCACTGGAAAAAAAAAAAAGAAAAAGAAAAAAAAAAAAAAACACAAATACACAACACTGTACACCGTACTTTTTTCAGCACACACCATCACAACACTGTGTGCACCCATTGTTAATGGGCCCTTAGAGTTTATGTACACAAGCAGCAGATTTGTACTAGCCACAAATGGCTCAATTTCTCTCATTCAGCTATGCTATCAGTGTAGATGGAGACATTTCTACTGTAGGTTATTGTATTAAGGCAGCATTAAATACCCAGTGACTGGATCTGATTGGATGCAGTCACTGTTCAGCCAACAACTTTCCACCTGGTACAGTCTATTTTTCAAAATACTTTTGTCAAGTCAGGTTGTAAGTCCTGCCAGTCCCCCACTGTATTTTCACTGTCTGTACTGGTTTTATCTTGGTTCAATAAAGTGGATTGTTCAGAGTGCAGCCAATCAGATGTCCTTTGGTCTCATCTATGCAGCACACGAGTTGGGCTAGCACCTACAGGAGTTGTGCTTGGCAATTAGTAGTCTCTCTACCTTGAGCAGCGGTAAATATACAAATCAGGTTGTACTTGCTGGGCCACTCACGCTTTGAATTTGGCCAGTTCAGCAGAAATCAGACAAAACTCATGGCATCTATGACCAGTTTAACATGAGCCGTTTGTGTTCCAGTCAGCAGGGGATTCGCTCACAAATCCCCTGCTGATTGGAGCAGAGCGGGCAGATGACAGGTCTGTGTCCATTCAGAACACAGACAGAACACGTTCGGCTCTATAGGTGGCCAGACGTAAATGAACTCCACTGTCTGTTTACACCCGGCTGCCTCTAGTCCACCCAAATAGAGGAGGATACAGACAAGTCCGTTTACACCTGCCAATCCTATCCAATCAGGTCCTCCTGAAAAACTGATTGCCCATGTGAAAGGGTTCCAAAAAGCAAGTCAATCATAGCAGGATTTCAGATACCTTCTTTGAAAATAGGCTTGCTTTTGGAATGCTTCTGTTCTCCCTACAACTTTTTTTTTTTTTTTTTTTTTTTTTTACCAACTAGGGGTGTGTCACATGGGTAACAAAGTTTTTCATATGCAGTTTTTCCCAATGTCAGCAACAACCCCAAGTAAACAATGTTCCAAAAAATCTAAGTCAAAATTAAAATACTGCATTTCAGATCCTTACAAATTGATTCACAAACAGGTCAGAAGCGAAATGAAAGCTTTCATAAAAATGGCCCCATAGTATAGGACAGTAATAAACTCCCACATAGTAACATTGCTAAACAAAGGATGGAGTTAAGAATTAACACAACGCAATATGCAAATGGAAAAACTATTCGTGCATGAGAAATGCAAATTTTTCATCTTTACAGTTTTGAAGGACTGGCGCAGAGTGTTTGTTGTTTGTGTCCAGGAGCCAGACCAATATAGTAATAAAAGGTGACGCAGCTTAGCATGTATTAGTGCTCCATTGTTAAAGTGCTATTAAATCGCTTAAATAGATTTTACTTTACCAGTCCAGAAATGTAATGACTGCATGCCTTCTTTTGCTTCTTTTCTACCTGGTGGTCTGATCAGTAATACTTCCGGTCTTAAGGAGACTACAGCCCTGGCCAAACGTTTTGAGAGCGACACAAAAATTAATTTTCACAAAGTCTCCTGCCTCAGCTTTTATGATGGCAATTTGCATATACTCCAGAATGTTATGAAGAGCGATCAGATGAATTGCAATTAACTGCAAAATCAATCTTTGCCTTGAAAATTAACTTAATCCAAAAAACAAAAAAAAACAAAAAAAAAAAACTATTTCCACAAAATGACCAGCTGATATCATATCAGTGATCCTCCTGTTAACACAGGTGTCAGTGTCGATGAAGACAAGGCTGGAGATGACTGTCATGTTGACAGAGTTAGATTAACAGACTGGAAGCTTTATTCACAAGCCTACAGGGCACTTATACCCCCTTCCTGCCCAGGCCAATTTCCAGCTTTCAGCGCTGTTGCACATTGAATGACAATTGCACGGTCATGCAACACTGTACCCATATGAAAATTTTATCATTTTTGTGTAACAGATAGAGCTTTATTTTGGTGGTATTTAATCAACTCTGGGTTTTTTATTTTTTCTTAAACAAACCAAAAACCACTGAAAAATTTTGAAAAAAAAATGTTCATCTTAGATTGTTATAAAATGTTTTAACTAAATTATTTTTCTCCCTCACTGATGTGCGCTAATGAGGCTGCAGTGATGGGCACTGATAGGCTGCACTGATGAGGAGGCACTGGTAGGTGGCACTGATGGGCATTGACAGGCATCACTGACGGGCACCGATAGGCGGCACTGATTGGTAGCACTGATTGGCATTGATAGGTGGCACTGAAAGGTAGCTCAGATGGGCACTGATATGTGGCATTGATGTGCACTAATATGGGGCATTGATGTGGCACTGACACGTGGCACTGCTGGGGCTACACTGATCATCAGGGCACACTGATCATCAGTGCTCTGATGATCAGTGTACATGTCCCCTCCGCGGAATGCCGATTACCGGCTCTCCTCTCGAGCTGTCAGCATGACAGCTCGAGAGGAGAGAAACGACGATAACCGGCATTTCCCTGTTTACATGTGATCAGCTGTGATTGGACACAGCTGATCACATGACCGAGCCGACATCTTCCGCTCTTTCCATGGATCGGTGATCCGCTGTGTCCGAGGGACACAGCGCACCGCCGATCAACTCGCGCTCTGGGAGCCGCGCATGTGCGGATAGAACGTCCTCCCAGAACGAGAGAACCACCTTGCGTCCGCCATATTACTATATGGCAGGTGGGAGGTGGTTAAAAAGGAGGGTGGTGCTTGAAATCATTGTTCTTCCTTTAATAACCATGGTTACCATGCAAGGAAACACATGCAGTCATCACTGCTTTGCACAAAAAGGCATTCACAGGCAAAGATACTGCTACTACTAAGATTGCACCTAAATCAACCATTTATTGGATCATCAAGAACTTCAAGGAGAGCGGTTCAATTGTTGTGAAGAAGGCTTCAGGGCACCCAAGAAAGTCCAGCAAGCGCCAGGACAATCTCCTAAAGTTGATTTAGCTATGGGATTGGGGCACCAACAGTGCAGTGCAGGTGTGAGTGCATCTGCACACACAGTGAGGTGAATAATTTTGGAGGATAGCCTGGTGTCAAGAAGAGCAGCAAAGAAGCCACTTCTCTCCAGGAAAAACATCAGGGACAGACTGATAATCTGCAAAAAGTACAGGGATTGGACTGCTGAGGACTGGGGTAAAGTAATTTTCTCTGATGAATTCCCTTTCCAATTGTTTGGGGCATCCGGACCATCAGTCCTGTGCCATGCCAACAGTAAAGCATCCTGAGACCATTCATGTGTGGAGTTGCTTCTCAGCCAAGGGAGTGGACTCACCCACAATTATGCCTAAGAACACAGCCAAGAATAAAGAATGCTCTAAAAACAACCTCCGAGAGTAACTTCTCCAACCATCCAAGAACAGTTTGGTGATGAACAATGCCTTTTCCAGCATGATGGAGCACCTTGCAATAAGGCAAAAGTGATAAGTGACTTGGGGAACAAAACATTTTGGGTCCATGGTCAGGAAACTTCCCAGACTTTAATCCCATGGAGAACTTGTGGTCAATCCTCAAGGAGGTGGGTAAACAAAAAACAACCGCCACAAATTCTGACAAACTTCAGGCATTGATTATGTAAGAATGAGCTGCCATCAGTCAGGATGTGGCCCAAAAGTTGATTGACAGCATGTCAGGGAGAATTGCAGAGGTCTTGAAAAAGGAAGGATAAAACACTGCAAATATTGACTCTCTGCATAAACTTAATATAATTGTCAATAAAAGCCTTTGACACTTAAGAACTTATTTTTGCACATGTTCCCCAGAGCAGTAACCCCCCACGCCTTTTTGACAACCACTTGACAATGACCATTTTTGTTTGACAGATTCACCTCCCACTAACTTCAATGGGGTTTAGGTCCAGTATTCAAACTCCTGTAAAGTTTGCCAAACCCTGCTCAAACCATACCCTGGGGAAGTTTGGCTGATTCCCAAACCCAAGCAATGTCATTTAAAGGGCCACTGCTTCTCAGCTAAAAACGCTGTGACAGCAGGCAGCTGAACTGAGCAATCCCACACAGTGACAGATCTGACACAACACACTACCACCAACACTGACACAGATCAACATGCCCAGCAGGCACTAGAAGAGCAGGCTGCGGCATTGTGATGTCATCACACACTGACACATTGCACGTGATGGATGTCCAGCCAGCCAGGTCACACTCACAGAGACACAAGACCTCAGAGTCAGACATTACCTTACTCCGCAGGCGCAGTTGCGCCTCCCACTGATGAATGGGAAGAGAAGGGCTGGAACTCCACAGTGATCAGCAGCCACCAGCAGGCTTGCAGTAAGGGACTCAGTCTAGGAGGAACACTAGGAGGAGCGGCAAAAACAAAAAAAGATAGTCATATCTGCAGAGTTTGTTATAGCTAAATCGTCATTACAGGGAGTTGAAATACCCTTTATAATTTTTTTTTTTTCGTGACTATGCCTTACCAATATTTTTACAGAAATCAATATTTTATACAGATCGTAAAAAGTAATTGTGAACTTTGGTCAAGAACCACCGGACCAGATTTTGCCTTAGAAATCCAGCAATATGAACCATTAGCAAATTGACAACCAGTACAGTGCAGGTGAACACCATATGTAGCCTGCAAACAACAAGATTGACATGGCAAAGTTCAGAATGGTGAAGTGGTCTATAAAAGAAACCCAAGAACCACTATTGCAATAACACTGAGAACTTAAATTTCCCTAATCCACGGATCAGCTCAACGTACCAACTTAAACACTAGTTTGTTCTCATTTATAAAAACATACGGCCCAATAAACTATGCATAGCGCACCCTCCTATGTAAGTATCTGTCCAGATACTCAATCGATGAAACCTGCCGACTGCCTTCCTCTCCTCAGCTAGGCAGTGGGAGGAGACCGCTTCTCCCAGCTCAAAGTCCCTCTGATAAGCATCTGTACAGATGCTTATCAGGATTCAGCTCAAAAAGTACAGATCTGTACCTGATTAGGCTGCACTCTAGCATGGATATTAGTTGATAGGGAACAGAAATTCCTTCGACAAGTCACAATTTTCCATTTCTGGCGTACATGCTGCAAATATTCTTGCATGGATATTTGTTTATAGGGTGCAGAAATAGTGACATTCCTTTGACAAGTCACAATTTTCCATTGCTGGCGTATGTGTTGCAAATCCTGTTGTGTGGATATTCGTTTATAGGGAGCAGAAATAGTTACATTCCTTCGACAAGTCACAATTTTCCATTTCTGGCGTACGTGCTGCAAATATTCTTGCATAGATATTCATTTATAGGGTGCAAAAATAGTGTCATTCCTTCGACAAGTTACAATTTTCCATTTCTGGAGTACGTGTAGCAAATCCTGTTGTGTGGATATTAATTTATAGGGCACAGAAATAGTGACATTCCTTCAACAAGTTACAATTTTCCAATTCTTGCATACGTGATGCAAATCTTCTTCAACATAGGTGCATTATATTGTTTATTTGATGCATGTTATGTGCACCAGAAAACAAGAGTTTATTGGGCCCACTGTGTTTTTGTGCACTACTTTACACAATGTCCCTCAATGGCCTTCATAATAAAGAAGGTTAATAGCAATGTCAATAATGCACAGATTCAAAGCAATACATCAAGGACCGGATGAGATGACCCAGCTACACTGAAATCTAGTACGGGTAACTGTACACCACTGTTCTTTATATTATTAAATAAAACCCATTGTGTTATCGCTTTTACGTATGCCTCTAAGCCCTAAGGACATTCCAGAAAGTATTGTGCACACCCAGCTGTTAAAGAAGATATGAAAAAGGACCAGCCTGAGCTGTTCTTGTAGAAGTAACAGATAACCAGATTAGTGAGAAATCACAGCAACAGCGTGTTTTGCTATGTCCTTAACTACCACCAGTGTCATCACAAGGTGAAGCAATTACATATAAAGCAGAATATTGCATGCTTTAAACACAATTCTTATGGGTGTGTCCCTTCAGTATAACTAGAGTTCTGTTTCTTCAGAAGAACATCAGGAGGTCAAGGCTATCCCGTGTAGGCTGTTAAACTAAACCATGAAAATTAAAGCAACATAGAAGTGGGAGAGAACTGCACAAGCGATTTTCATTTTCAGCAGTTGAACCCAGCTAGGTTCACTTCTTGTAAATAGGGAATGATTGGCACTGATATGCTAAATAATGAACATCACCCCAGTGTTCTCAACTAGGAGTTTGTCATAGGGCACACCACACGGGGATGCCACCACTCAATACCAGGATCCAGCATCTTCTGTAGCCACCAGCCTCTGAGGTGCTTTGTTAGGAAATGAGCAGTGTGGCATAAAAAACACAGAGCAGACATGCAAATCCTCATCTCATAAGCCATTTGGAATACAAGCACATGACATCTCCTGTGTTGTCAAGAGGGAGTCCCATCCTGCTTGTAGGGTCCATTAAGGCAGGAGTGCAGGTACTGACCACCAAAGAGGGTCTATGACTATGGAGGTTAACATTTGCTTCTTACACAGAGGTCAGTGCCCTCGAAGACCTTTGCTTCATATAAAATAATGTGCTGACAACATTATGGAGTGTGTCAGTGCATGATTTATATCTGATACTCTGCAGCCTTTTTTCTGATGTGCTATACAGGGTCAATCAATATATCCTTTTAATAAGGGAAGGCAAAAAAGGGAAACTACAGAATGTGCAGTATAAACCATAGGGAAGCAGGCTCTCCTTGGCAACACTTCAACCCCCACTGAAATTGAGTGTTTTGGCCAGTTTGACATTGCTTTTGATCATTCAGTCATCTTGCTTACATTTACATTAAAGAGGCACTTGTAGGTCAGACAAATATAACATAACAGTTATAATGAAATAACCACAAATGTCTTTTCTGTGCTCACAGCATTATCAGTTTTATTCAACCCCCAAGTGACATTCAATCTTAGTACTTAGTACAGCATCCTTTTACAGTTATAACAGCTTTTTAAACGTGAAGCATAGCTTGACACAAGTGTCTTGCAGCGATCTACGGGTATCTTCGCCCATTCTTCATGGGCAAAGGCCTCCAGTTCAGTCACATTCTTAGGCTTGCGCACTGCAACTGCTTTCTTTAAGTCCCACCAGAGGTTCTCAATCGGATTTAAGTCTGGTGACTGCGATGGCCACTCCAAAATGTTCCAGCCTTTCCTCTGCAACCATGCTCTAGTGGACTTGGAGGTATGCTTGGGATCATTGTCCTGTTGAAAGGTCCAACGTCTCCCAAGCCTCAGGTGTGTGACGGACTGCATCACGTTTCCATCCAATATCTCCTGGTACTGAAGAGAATTCATGGTACCTTGCACACGCTGAAGCTTCCCTGTACCTGCAGAAGCAAAACAGCCCCAAAGCATGATTGACCCTCCACCATGCTTCACAGTAGGCAAGGTGTTCTTTTCATCATAGGCCTTGTTCTTCCTCCTCCAAACATAGCGTTGATCCATGGGCCCAAACAGTTCTAATTTTGTTTCATCAGTCCACAGAACACTATCCCACAACTTTTGTGGTTTGTCCACATGGCTTTTGGCATACTGCAGTCGACTCTTCTTATTCTT